ATATCATTAATGCATAAATATCATGCGTATCATTTAAAATTTTTACATTATTCTTGTACAGTTAGTTTATATATATATATATATGTAATATTTATAATTGTAATATTTCATTATTGCAACAAAAAAATTTTCAAATAATTTATTGCACACAATAGTGAATTAGTAATGTAATAGTACAATTGTTTTTTTTACATTGTTTGTGCATACGTTTAATATTATTAATTTATCAATTTTATTATTTAATATTTTTTTTTTTTTTAGTTTAAGTGTTTGTTAAATTTACTCAAATAATGAGAGAAAAAGAGAGAAAGAGAGAGAGAAAAAAAAATAAAGAAAAAGAAGAAACATTATGCACTCTCAAAATCATTCACTTTCCAGCTTACTGGATATAATATTTTCTGCTCTAGGTATTTCACCCTATCCTTGAAATCCGGCGCAGTTTGACGATATAAGAATATTGAATAATCTTCGAACGGCTCGTCTTTCTCGCGTTTTGCGTTCGCTTGCAGCATCTGCATACTTTTGTAGAATTGCTGCGTCGCCATATTTCGTAAATATTGCCGCCTTCTCATACGTTCTGCGCGATTTTTCTCTATTTCTGCGAGTCTCTTCTGCCTTTCCTCCTTTACGTCCACCGTAAAATCGTATAGTGATATATTAATTCAATATTATTCACACAGTTACAATTATTTTCTTTTTTTTTTTCTTTTTTTTAATCAACTTAATTCTCATTTGTCATTCATTTTACACAATATATTATATGTTACAACTTATGTTACGTGGTTTTCATCAATTATATTTTTAACGATCACAATGGATGTGAATAATAAAATACAAAAGAGGGTAAAAAAAAGATGAAAGTGGGGTGGTATTTTAATTCGAGTTTGGCTACGCTAACATTCCTTTCTGTTTCCAGAAAAAGAAAAAGAAAAAAGAAAAAAATAGGAGCGGTTCTTCTACTTCTTTTTAGAGATATCTAGATTATTTTTTTACTTTTATTAACTAACTATAGGGATATCTAATTAGGAGAGAGAGAGAGAGAGAGTTCTATGCAATCTATTCGTTTGAAACAAATTTTTAGTAAAATATAGGACAAATACAAAAGCTGGCGTAGCAAATATATATTATATATGTAATATATATAACATAAACATAAATATGATAGAAAAAGTTTAAAACATAACCGAGAGTTTTGCAATGTTCCATTGATACTTTGGTCGATTATACGAAGCGATTAGAATGTAAAGACTTCCTTCTGCACCATGGTAATAGTAACTCCAATAATTAAGATAAACAACGATACGATTATCCCACGATACATAAGTGCTTCAATCTTCTGCCACCGTGACTATAGGATATAAGCAGTGTAAGTATCGTATGTGATTTGTTAGTGTTCGAATTATCAACCCTTTATGGAATGTAATCACATTTATACTCGACAAATAAAAGAAAAAGAACAAAAAGAATCATTCCATAAAGAGTTAAATATGCGATTCAATCCTTTGCATCGACTCTTTTAATATTTTCCTTCCGTATAAATAATTTCTATATAAATAATTTCGAAGGACGTAATTTATCACAAAGGATTGATTTCAATATCGTGTGAAAAAAAGAATGTTTGAACCTTGGATGATCTGCTCTAACTAGAAGCTTTCAAAAACATATGGTTAAAAATTTAATAAAGAAAAATGTTCTATTTCTTTTTTTTTTTTTTTTTTTTTTTTTTTGGAGATTTTAAATTTTATTTTTTTTGTAGTTTTTTTGCTTTAAAAAAAAAAAAAGTTCTATTTTTTTTTTTTTTTTTTTTTTTTTTTTTTTTTCTTTGGAGATATTAATATATCATGTTATCGATGATATTTTGCGTTAGAAAAAGATAAGAGGAAAAAACTTACCACTGTCGCGCCCATCTTCTCTGTGCTTCGTCTCTTTCGAGAACGTCGGCTAATCGTGTCCCCCTTCTTATCCGCGGGGTTTAAATTTTCGTTATGACGCGATCGTGAGTGTCTCGTTCTCGTTGCGCTATCTTGCCTGACGATACGGTCAATTAACTGAACTTTTTGATCAGGTGTCAATTGTTTACTATGTGCGGGCCTTTCTTCGTTTTCAGGTTCCTTTATAAAAGACGATCAAATACAATCGTTATACAATTGTACAAAAAAAAAAAAAGAAAAGAAAAGAAAAGAGAAGAGAAGAGAAGAGAAGAGAAGAGAAGAAAAGTTGTTAATAAAATTGCTACCGTAAAGGAAAAGTAAACTTAATTAATGAAAAACATTTTATGGTTAGTAACTTCTCGTTAACTTTGTTATTGTCCAAACGATAATAACACTCGTGATCTTTATCAAAGTGATTTGGTGGTTTGAACATTTTCTTCAATGATGATGCAACTATATTGTTTTGAAGTTTATTTCTTATCCAGTTTATAGCAAATTTCTCATCCATTTCTGCAACGTTTGCACTTAACGATATTTTGTTATTATTGTGATCTAACGATTCGATGATTGTCTGTTGTGAAATTGTTGTAGGGATGGGATATGACAATGATTCTTTTCTTCGATCGTAAACGATGTACGACGGTCTACGATTCCAATGGGAGGGATCAGGTTTTCGTGGGCGAGGATGGAACTTTCTTGTTAAAAAATGTTCTGACGACTGTAAATGTTCGTTCCGTGATTTCGGATATGATACCGAATACTATAAAATACCGGAAACCGATTAAAAATCTTCTGACATGATTCCACATCGTGCGAATCTACTTACTAATTTTGGATGTTTAATGTACGGGATTTCACCGCGGAAAACTTCGTATATCTGTGTGAGGTAAGAAAACATGGCAAGTTTATCGGGAACGTCGCACTGGGCCATTTCCTCCCCTGTCATTATCTGAAATTCCCCGCAGAACGTCGATTATTATTTTTCCCTTATAAATATAAATAATTAGAATAATCATTGACAAACATACAGGAGGTATGCCCAATTCTTTTTCCAATATATCAAAGGCCAATTGATTGTTCGTAACCGCATCGTCTGGGTTCAAATTGTGGAAATCAATTAGGTTTGGACGATATCTGTGAATTATCGCACAAATAGCCAGACCATTCTTGAACGAGGCGCCCATGTCTCTTATCTGAACCGAGTCGTACAGGGCAACTTGTTTCTGCAGCCAGCGAAGCAGAGTGTCCGGATGCACTTGCGAATCTCCACGCAAATCTACGATATAACACTTATAAATTCAAACGATCTTCTTTCGTAATCAAAACAAATTTTGAACAAACTTACCCCGACGACGTCGTTTTTTAGGGATATCGATGTCAGACTGGACAGGAGGCTGTTTCACGCTGTCGGGATCATCCGTGTCGAGCAGACTTCGCACTTGTATCGGCGTCACCGACGACACGTTCAAATTCGGATATCTTGGGAAGAGAATGGACAATAACACATTAATAGAATAATGTATACAGAAAGTATATTATATATATATATATATATATACCTGGTATGAGGATCTAGCGTGTACGCAGCGTAATCTCTGTTTAAATTTTCAGGCGTAGTCTGTCCAAGTAACCTGTAAATTGACTCCCGTTCGGCGATTACTTCCAACGGCGACACGCTCGCGCCCCATCCTTTGATCGCCCAGCAAGCGTCCAAGGAGCTTAAAAATCCTCTTGCGCAACCAGATCCCGTTGGCCAGAATGGCTGCAATAATTTTACATTCAATTTCCTACGTCAACGTTAAGAAGAAGAAGGAAAAAAACGAGTAAAAGAAACGATGCGAGGTGGAGGAAATTTTAATAAATTTTAATCTTCGACGTACCTCGAGCAGGCTATCGCCGACAAGGATCATAAGTAATTTATGGCCACGACGTTCCAAAATTCGACTGGCATTCTCCGCCGCATACATGGACGTGAAATCGAACATGGCAACGTCTGGTTGACCATAATGGTTCACTGCGAATTCCATACCAATCATTTGGTATTCCGTGGAGAATTCGGCAGCCTCTCGGGCGTAAAGCATCAACGCTTCGCGATCCACGTTTTCTTTCGCTAGTAATTTCGCCGTATCCGCGTGATCCTGAAATTAGAAAATTAGAATTAAATTTGTTCTGATGACAAATCTCTTTCGAAATATATATATGTAAATAGATTTATACCTGCAAAATCACTCCCTTGTCTATAAGACTGTGCTTCTTAGCCGTCATCACGAAGTAGTGAGTGTCGTCTTTGTAATACACGATATTTTCTAGATCAATACCGGTCTCCTGGTACAATTCTTTGAAAAACTTTTGATTAAAGATGAAGGCAACCCCGCTAATTTCTTCGACACGGGCTTCCGCCTCGGTCCGTTTATTTATGAAGTTCGCCGTTATCGCAATAGCCAATTTACCCCTGAACTCTTTCCGCTTAAAACCTTCCAACGTGTTTCTCTTCCCGTCGGCGCCTATCAACACGTCGAACTCGTACTGAGAGACTGGATGATCGGCAGGAGTGGTTTTCGCTCTCCAACCGATCTCTGGAAGAACAAATACGTATGAATTTCGTATTATTTTCTATTTTCTTTCTTTTTTTTATTCTCGAGGAAATCGTTCGCGGAATTCGTTTTGCTTTCGTACTTTTGTCGTATAGGAGTAAAGCTAGGAGGCCCAATTTAGAGATTTGAAAAATCTCCCATTTCCAACGAGATTTTAAGAAAGAAAAATCGAGAATATTCTATTCTCTTCCCTCGTTTTCACGGAAAATGCTGTTTTCATATAATGAAAACTTACTGCCCTCTTCCTGATTCTCAGGCGGAGATATCAAAGCGTCGAAACTGACGCTCTCGTGGAACTCGACGCCGAGGATCAAAGCGACTTTGAGCAATATACATTGAAGTTGTCGGATGCTAATGTGATCGATGGAGCCGGCGCAAAATTTCCCGAAGAACTTTTTCGCCCCCAGGGCGCGAAGGTCGTGGATAACGAAGGGCCACAGGTGAAGCACGTTGTTCCTGGACATTCGATCCCGTTTCTCTACAACGACGACCTTCGCTCCTAATAATTGCGCCTCTATCGCCGAACGAAGGCCGCATGGCCCGCCTCCGATGATCAACACCTGAAATCAATCGCAAAGCGTATTAGAAATTTCACATTTTGTTTAAAACACGTTCGAGAGATGATTTTAAAAGAAGAAGAAATTTCGATTATCCATTGCAAAATAGAATTGCAAGAATATTGGATTTGTTGAAATGGTGGTATTGAAAAATATGAAAGAAGAAAAATTGGTTACCCTCGTGTTCGGGCATGCTTTGCCACGATTGTAACATTTGTAATTGGCCCTCTGATCGAATTTTTTCCAGAGGGCTTGAGCCTTCCACGATCGCAATTTCGCTTTCAATTTTGGATAAAATTGATTGATCACGTTCGGCCTTATCCTGAGCAAATCGCAGAGATGCCTGTAATGTCCCAGAATTGATTTCAAAGTGGTCGCGTTGCAAAACAGATCGAACTCCTCGTTAGCTTTCGCTATTTCCGTCGAGCTCATCGTTTGCTTCCGATGCTCCATTTTCTTTCTTCCTGTCCTTCCTGCTTTCGAGTCAGTTTGTCATTACCTGCAACGAAACAATATTACTTTTTATTCATCAAGAGATAGATTATAAAATTCCACTATTCCAGAAATCTATTAATAACATATCCTCCAATTTTTCTAAATAAAATTTAATATTCGAAACTGCAATAAGAAAGATTGATTAATTTTCAATATTAAAAAACGTTAATCCGATTTGAAATTCTAAATGGCGAACTAATAGAAAAAAGTAACGTTTGAATTAAATTTATAATATAAGAAAATTTATATTATTTATAATATAAGAAGTAAATTTTGTTAATTTCATTAAACAGAGCGTATAACGGTGAATATAAATCGAAACACGTAACATATCAATTGGATTATTTCTTAATCGATACGTCAAAAATCAAACGTAATTCCATAATGTTTCTCCTCGGAACACGTGACGCTTCCGTTCGTCCGCAAACGCCTGCCTCCTTCTATCGATTTTCTATTATCTCACGTGGGACTAAGTCTATCGATGAGTGCCTAGAAACGAGCCATTAAAAATAACCGTTTTTTTGCGGATAACGCAAATTATACAAAGTTGGACAAACAGAATCGTGGTTATGTTTAAATTTTAAAATTCTCAAACTTGCGAATTTCAATCAACTTTCAACAACAAACATGAATAATCGAAAAAGAAAGGAACGATAATATCCACTATTTCTTTCCTGTCTATAATAATTCTCGAATCTAGGCTAGATCTAGACGAGATGGTCGTACCCGGACTATCCTCTCGAAATGTCACGAGGTGCCGGCCGACGTGCCTTCTGCGTGCCTTTCGCGGCTCGATTCGACCATAATACAGTCCTCTTCCCGATAACTTCGATCTAAATACAACCCGAGAAGAAATCCGTGGCGATGCACTGTAGTATAGAGTATAAAGGGAGAGAAAGGGGTGATACGAGGAAGAAGAAAGAGGAGAGATTCAGAGTCACGCTTCTCCGCTATTGATTTACGAATCAATTTAAAAACGACTTCCGCGATACGAGCCCCATAATTCACGCGGATTAGCCGAGCGTGGCGTGCAGTCTCTCTGTACGTAACCACCGAGGAGGACCACTAGCGCCACCGTCCCTCCAACCAAGTTACGCCAACTGAAAACGAAGCGATTGCAGGTATGCATCGTGTATAATTGCGAGTCTGTGGGAAAGAGGTTAAACGATCGAGAATCGAGTAGTTTAGAAACTTCATTTCATTGCAATGAATATCGCGATAGAGATTCGCTTAGAGATTGGAAAACTTGAAGTGAATCGGTGGATCCATTGTCCAGTGCTTAATTAAAAAGTATCTCTTGTAGCGAATAATCTTACTTACGTAACCTTTCATCGTAATCATCTCGGCATATTTATCGTCACGTAAGGCGCATTCTAAGCGCGCGATATTTGTTAACGAGGGAAAAAAACGAAAGGGACATCTTCGAGTGTTCTCTCTCGGTATCATTCGGTAATTGCAAGGTCGAAACGTGTAATTTTATCGAGGCAGAGCGAGCGCTAATTCCTTCACGGTGGCGTATACAATGACTCGTTATGCACGGTCACGTCCTCGCGGCCGATCGTAATATCGTACCGTACCGTAGTCGATACACCCGATGCCGCTCTTCCACGCGGTTCTTTGAACTTACGACCCGATAACTTCGCCGATGCCTTTGCCCAGTCCTCGCCATACCATCCACGGGGAAACGGAAGCACGCCAACTTTCCCCTATGGACACATCCTTCGCAGAGATCAAAGCAAACCTTCTCCTCCCACAAGTGATATCGACCGCTTCTCCTATCCACACGACTCGATGCTAACGTTTTCGATGCTCCTCGATAATTATGAAAATTTATCCGAGAACGTTTATAATATATATTATACTCTTTTTGATATTATCTTTCTTTCTTTCTTTCTTTCTTTCTTTGGCTAATGTTTGTAAATTTTTTGCCACGATGAAAATAGTTGGCAAGGATGTTTATTCGTGCACGAACCTCACTTCCGGAGGGGAGGTATTTATGTAATTAATAGCGAAGGTGAACGAACGTAGAGCGAAGATTTATGCGCGTTTGAAATCATAATCGAAATTTCTCGTGATTGAATTTCTTCGGAAGAAAAAAAGAAGGATATTTGAATATTGCTTCGAGGAATGCTAAGAATTGTTATTTTTAATATCGATGAAATTTTTATTTGAAATTATGAAAATAATATATTGTCTTTTAAAACTGGTGATTAATTATGCAGAAATAAGCTGTTACAGATAGTTTTATCAGCGTGTATAATTCCTTTGCAATTTTTTTTTCGCTTATTTATTTATTTTCTTTTTTTTTTCATAATAAATTATCGCGTTAAAGGTTAAAGGAAAATACGTAAGTACAGAAGATTAAATATCGGTGTTTAGTCTACCGTGATATCGACTTTGTTCCTTATAACGACGCACTTCTCTTTTTTTTTAATCTTGCACGACGATGAAAATAGTCGTGTCGCGGTTATTTATTTTCACTCCGGGACGACAACGACTTCCGGGAAAAGTGCGATCAATACAAGATCGATGAACTTTTATTACAAAACGCGTTATCCAACTTGAAAAAATAATCTAATCTAATTTAATTTTATCTCGTGTAGAAAATAAATCGATAATTATGATAACAATTAATAATAATAAGAATGATGATCCTAATAAATATACAATTCTCGCAAGCGATAATTCTTAAAATAACTTTTTAACTTTGTTTTTAATTTTCAGAAAACGAAAATTTTCGCAAATTACGTAAATTTTCTTTTTTTAATCCGATATATTTTAATTCCCGTTATATAGGAACGCGATATGAAGCATCGTCATACGTGAAAATTTTTCCAACTGTTGGAATCAAATGCGTTGATGGGAGGTAATTTGCAAGAGGTTACGGGAGAAATTTTTCGCGGTTTATTCGAACCGTGTTTCAGATTAACACGGACGAGAACGAACGAGTACGATGTACCATTCCTACAAATTTATCGTTTCGAGGCAATATAATTAAAAAAAATTACGTTCGAAAATAATTTTCGCCAATTGCAGAGTACGATTCAAAAGGCGGAAATTACTCGGACGTTTTGTTTCCCACGCATTCTTTTTTTTTAATCATCGGGATTAAACGACTTATGATTAAACTTCGTAACGAAACTCTATTCTCGCATTGGAATTAAATGGAAATATTAATGTTTCAATTGCGTAATGGAATCGTGCGTAATGGAGAATCGTGAATTAACAGTGGATCCAAGCTTTCGCGGCATTGATCCAGGATACAGGATTCGCTCAATTTTTGATTTACTTTTTCCGTCGTAAAAATTGCAAAGGGGAACAAAATGATATATCTTTTTGAATCAGATACCGAATTTCGAGCAATTAAAAAGACTTCTACGCGCGTGGCGAGATATAAAAAGAAAAAAAAGGAGAGAGAGAGAGAGAGAGAGAGAGAGAGAGAGAGAGAGAGAGAGAGAG